CTGGGAAGGTAATGTTGTGCAAAGATTTGAGGATCAAGGATGTGAAGGCCCTATAGGAGTACAAGAGTTGGAAGATGGTACTTTGTTAGTTTGCTTATACTCCAGTCGCAAAATTGTCAGATTGTCGAGCAGCTTCAAAGAATGTAAGATCACTGGATTAGAGGACATAGACCTTTCCTATCAACAAATTGTAACATATAGTGAAAGTAATCACAAGTTATATGTTAGTTGTTCTTCTGAGCACGAAAATGTTTTAAAGCATACAATAGAAGTATTCAAAATGTGAGATGGATAATTGGTATGTTTTAAATGTGAATATATGATGCAATGTGGTAAATTGTATATGATCAATATTAGACACATTTTACCATTGGGAAAATACTAAATACAAAAACATATATCGTAATCAAAGTTGAGATGTCTTGGATATATTATAGATATCCATCCAGTTGTTTGAAAAATGTATAATAATGAAGGAGAATATCTTTTTTTTGAATAATTGATAAATGGTGATCATCATTTATATATCATTTTAAAGAACAACCATTTTTATTACATATTTACTTGTCCATTAAATATTTCCTTTTCGTATTTAATTAATACTTCTGCTTCGAAGAATTTAATTGATATTTCTGCTTCGAAGAAGTGTAAAACCTATATTTCTTGTCTTTTTTTGTAAATATCATTTTGTTTTATATTTAATTACTAAAAAAACTTAATTTTGCCTTTTTTGATTCCAAGGAGTAAGAATGTTTCAATACATACAATAGATTTGTAATAATTACTTAATGAATAACGATGACTTTATCGGTGATTTTGAAAATAGTTTTACTATTTATATGCCACATGGTTTGATATCAGCTGTATATGACAGCATTTTTTGACCTTCGATATTTATTATCTTGCAGAATCTTCACATTCTTAATGCTACATTTCATATTGATTGATAAAAAAATCTTTTTTTAAACAATAGGAGGTTTACATCATTATTTGTATATTATATTATGTATTGTGATTGTAAAATGGCATGCTATTTAGTGCTGTTTTTGCCAATAATTACAGCGCATAAAACTCATGTTTGTATGATGTATGATGTACTGAGATGAATAAATTTGATTGATTTGATAAAATCTGAGTGAAATTTCGTTAACATGCCTGGTTAATAATTCGTTTATTCAATTCAATTGAGTTGTTTACAATAATTAAACATAAACACGTAAATAAAATAATATGTGAAAAATAAAAAAAGTAAATAAGGGTTTCACAACAATTAAAAGATTAAAAAATTGGATGTTAGTAATTTGTTAAGGTATCAGACACAATTAATTTCACGCCTAATTGCGTTGTAATAGCTAAGAAATATTATCATAATGATGTGTAGGATTCGCCAATTAAATCTGCATAACAGAGTCTTTACAAATATCTAAACTGATGAAATCTTTAATTAAAGTAATATATTAAAGTAACTATAACAAGATCGCATTTGTATTAAAAAATGCTTTGCCACTAAAACAATGTAACAAAAGAAGTATACCCTTTTATTTGTATACATTTGAACTTTGCCATAATGCAAGAGGATCTAGTGAATTTTGGGGTCAAGATCATAGTTGAGCATTTCAAATGAAAGACAATGTGCAGATGTGTCTCTATTCATATACAAAGGCCATGGTGTAATAATTGATTCAAAATACAATAAGAATTTTGTTATTTACTGTATTATTTAGCTGTATTAAACTTTGAAATGCAGTTGCAGTAAAATTCTTAAATGCTATATTTTTATTAATCTTTACCTATTTCTGAAAACATAAAAAAAACATTCATAATTTAAAATCATCATTACATAAATGTTGTAAATAATAATTTCCTTATAATGTGCTCAGCTCTTTCATAAATATCCCTGCAAAGCAAACATTACTCTTTAGGTCATGATCTCTAATCATACCTAAAGATAGAATCTTTGAAAGCAAACATTTCTCTTGCCATTCAAGGCCAGCTGCATGATTATTAGATTAGAACGTGTTTATAAAGTAATAATACAAAGTCGGTAGATCTCACCATATGTCGACATAAAGTATTTGAGTTGTAAAAAACATATGTTATGACTTTAATTTATTGTGGATACAATTAATATAAACGTAAAGCTTGACTTTTAATCAGAGAAAACGGTGATCTACTCTAAACAAGTTTAATATCGATTTCTTTGCGAAATGGGGTAATTAAATAATATGATAAAAACATATCAATAGCTGACGGAAAATCAATCTTCCTTTTGAACATTGTAATTGATTGACATTTTTTTTCATTTGAGAAAATATTTATTCCTAACAGAAATGGCTGGTTAAATAAATTGAAAACATTAGATACATTAATAAATCAGTGGTACACAGGATACGAAAATAAATCTTATTGTAAAAGTATAATATTGATAGAAAAGAAATTTGAAATTTACAAAAATCTGCCTCTTGAAACTGGAAATTTGCATAGGTTTCCTTAAGAACATAGAAAATGCATTATTTGCAATCAAAACATAGGGGATGACTTTTATCTTCTATTATATTGTCAAAATCTAACTATGAGAAGAAATCTCAATATAACAAAGTTTGAAAGTTTAATGAATACTAACCATTTTATGGTGTGGTATGTAAACAATTTGCATACTTTTTTGAATTTTGATTTTATTGTGTATTAATAACAATTTTACACAAATATTGTAAACCCAGAACAAACTTCAGACTTTTCTGTATGTTCATTAAGGGCTCATTAGTGTGATCAACTTTAAAAATTTACCAAATCAAAAATATCAATTTATCTTAAGTAGTGCTATTAATATCATTGTGTTACTTAAATTTCCATAATAAATATTGATAGATTCAACCAAAAGATGTAAGATGTGGTCCTTTATATTTGGTTAGATATTAATTGTTACACCACAGTCTAATTATATATTGTCTTCTTTTAGAAAGAAATGGAGAAATGTTGGAAGACCACTATCGACACAAAGCAGAACCCGAAATTAAAGTGTCCTCCATATGATAAAGATGGTTTAGGCGAGTCGGCTCATGGATATTGTCAAGCATGTTTTCAGTTTGAAGGATCACTTAATGTGAAGTTCCCCTCTGATAAATCACAATGTAATGTCTGTGGGATAGTAATGATAACAGCAACACAAATGATCGTTGACTACGGGAATAAGAAAATTAAAATGATTGATGTAAACAAAGGGACTCTGGTATCAGATGTATTTCTATCATCGGGACCAGAAGATGTAATAAAACTTCCAGGAAATAACTTGCTGTTGCATTGCGGTTTGAAAACTGTATTCAAATTATTTCTTATACTGACCAAAGTTTGACACAAGATCTTCGTATAGATATTGGATATACATGTATATGTTATTGTGTAGCTTATTGTCAAGACAAACGAGTGGTAGGTTGTAATTCTAATCCAGGAAAGCTGATTATTTTGTATTTACACAGAAATATCATACAGGTGTTTGATGCTCCTGGACTGTTTGATTCGCTTGCAAAGATTGTTATCAGCATTGATGAAAAGTTCATGTATGTATCTGATTACTACTCTTTAAGCAAGTTTATGAAGCTGGACTGGCAAGTTAATGATGTACAAATATATGAAGATCCAGGATATTTGTTTGTTTGATTGGGTTTTACGTCACACCGACAGAGTATAGGCCATATGGCGACGTTCCAGCTTTACTGGTGGAGGAAGACCTCACGTGCACTTCCGTGCATTATTTCAGGCACGAACGGGCACCTTAATAGAACCACCGACGTTCCGTAAGCTAGCTGGATAGCTTCATCACATGAAAGAATCCAAAGTCCCTGTCGGGATTCGAACCCGCAGCGGTGAGGGGCAAGTGGTTTAAAGTCAACGACCTTAACCACTCGGCCACGGACGCCCCAAGATCCAGGATATGAAAGACCAACCGGAATACAAGAGATGGAAGATGGTACGTTATTAGTATGCTACAGAGACAGTAGCAATATTATAAGATTGTCGGCCAGCTTCAAGAAAATATATGAGAATTTGATTTATAGATATACAAAACAAGACTAGCTACGAAACAAAGATATTGAACAATTCAGACATGATGGTCAAGGTCAAGTTCATGAAGTTTCATTATGTTTCATATAGCAATGAGATCTTGACCTTAAGCACGGTCTTACATATAAAATTGAACCTTGATATCAGCTTACCTTGATAATTTGACAAAGTGACCTACTTTCTTGTCCTTTGATGTACAGTTAGAAATTTGGAATATTTGCACAGTTTTAAATGTTAATTTGAACTTTGATATCATCTGACCTAGATAATTTGATATAGTGACCCACTTTCTTGTCCTTTGATGCATAAAATTTGGACTATGTGCACAGTTTCATATGCAAAACAGAACATTGAACATTATGGAAATGATTCATACGTTAACAAAACAAGTGTGACTAGACCTATCTAATGAAATGAAAAAAACGAAAACAGAAAATTTAATTAATTTTTCTAAAGATTTATTTAAACCTTTTATTTGTTTAACTGCAGAAAACGTAAACCTGTAGAAAACGTAAAAAATGTCGAGCGTTGCCCCGTTAGTCGGTAGCTCTTTTTAGTTGCTAGCTTTGAAACAGTAAGGATATTGCAGATTTGATTTGATTTATGTTATGTGTTGCAAACGTCTGTTTTAAAGAAAAACAACAATAAAAAACAGGCTTATCTTTGGATATCTAATAATGACTGTATATGAAACATTTCAGTAAAAAATGGATTGATTTATATACGCCTTAATGTTTTGTCTGCCTATGTCATGTACAAATACAGATACCTCAAGAAAATATAAACCATGTTAGCAAAGATGTGAGTGGTGGTTTACAGGCTATGGATACAGCATTAACAACCCAGCAATCACAAGAGGTTCAAGCTAACTCTGCTATAGTGGAAATGCCAGGTGGTGCACCTCTTACCATCAGTGGAGGCCGTTTAGTCCTGGCAAACTGCCCCACTGACAACTGATCCAACCAGTAAGTGTTTGTGAATATTTCATTATGCCCTCCTTCGAAAATGAGGCGGTATATTGTTATGTTTGTCTCTTCGTCGGTAAACTACATGGCTTTGCACTTCTTATCTTAAAAAAATATTTATCACAAGGTATAGGTCATAACTACTATTGATTTTGGGGTCACTAGGTCAAAAGTGAAGGTGACAGGGACATTAAATGTCAGAATGGTTGCCGCTCATTATACTTATGATAGCTTCCATTCAGTTTCAGGTCATATATTGGTCATTATGTTTCTTTTTTCATAACTAAAAACAATTCCATGTACCCATTTATGGCATGTTTCTATAACAAAATTACCTATAATATGAGTTAAAGGCTAGAAAGTCGGTCAAATGTGCCGTGTCTTGTTTCCCTTTGTGATCACCTGTTGTCTTGTCCAACTTATAACCTGCCTTGAGCTGTCTGTCATTATCTTATCCAGAATTTCTCTTAGCATCATTATATCTTTAACCTCATAGTACATTTTGACAAAATTTTGAAGAAATGATTTTAGGTGAGGTGTCTGGAGCTTAAAATAAACTTTAAAAATGAAATCTTTAAAAATCTTCTAAGAATATAATGCACAGATCTAAAGATAATGCCTATAGCATATCATTATAACCTTTTGGTCCTCTACAAAAGTTATATATAATAAGTAATGCACCTTGGATCAAATCTGGCTGTTCTTTAAGGGTCACTTAGTATGGAAAAAGCCTTGTATATAAAAACAGATTTACATCATCTTCTCTGAAACTACATATCCTTATGCTTAGATATTTGGTGTGAAGCTTTGCCAAATGAACTCTACAGAATTATATGTATCAAGCCGCTTAAATAAAAAATGTTCTGAATCATGGGACCATTTTTTTTAGCTCCACTATTCAACGAAGGGAGAGCTAATGTATCCATCCCGGCATCCGCGTCACACTTTCTTTGTGTTTTCATCTCCAAGGCTACTGAAGGGAGTGGGTTGAAAGTTCACACACTTACTTTATAGTATAACTGGAAATCATTGCATAAGGCACATTACATTGACAGAAATATGGCCCTATTTGAACTTATAAAAAATTCTACATTATCCAAGCTCTTGGGTTACTTTCAAGCACTGAGAATAGTCAAGTTTGCTGTCCTACTCAGAACTGACAGCTCTTGTTTCATACTGAGATTAGGAAATGATAAATATTTTATGATTTTCTGCCGATATCATGCAACAGTTACTGATGAACTTAAGGGATATTTTGGATTATTTTATTTTGGACGCATTCTATGCAATTTATTGTCCCCCGCCTTTTCGAAGAAAAAAGGGGGATATAGAAATAGGCTCCGTCCATCTGTCCGACCGTCCGTCACACTTTCGTGTCCGGTCCATAACTTTGTCATTTATCAAAGGAATTTGAAATAACTTGGCACAAATGTTTGTTATAATAAGACAATGTGTCATACGCAACAACCAGACCCCTACCTTCAGGGTCAATGTAGCTTTTGTTCATTCAAGGTCAACATTGTCTATTTGAGGGTATATGTCGTGTCTGTTCCATAACTTTCTTATCTTTGTAGGGATTTTGTAAATATTTGCCAGAATTGTTCACAATAATGAAATGATATGTCATGCGCAACAACCGGTTACCTACCTCCAAGGTCAAGGTCACACTAAGAGGTCAAAGATTTACATAGTCTGTTATAGGGTATATTTTGCGTCCAGTCCATAACTTTTTCATACATCAATGGATTTTTAAATACTTTGCACAAATAATCACAATAATAAGACGATATGTCAGGCGCAAAACATTGGTCCCTACCTCCAAGGTCACACTTAGAGGTCAAAGATTAACATAATCTGCTATAGGGTATATTTTGTGTCTGATCTATAACTTCTTCATAGTTCAAGGGATTTTGAAAAAACTTGGCACAAACAATTATAAGACGATATGTCATGCACAACACCAGCACCACAATCTCCAAGGTCAAGGGCACACTTAGAGGTCAAAGCTTAACATTATAGATTTTTAAATTCTGTGTTTCATTTTATTTCTTTAATAAATTTATTGATGCATTTGCAGATCTAGCATTGATCATAATATTGAACTGAAAGTCCTGAGATCCATACATCAATCTTTTGAAATAGCACAATTTTATGCTTTATATAAAACTTCCCTGAGACGGGGAACGTTGGTAACTCTGTTACAAATTCTTGTGTAAATTGTAAGTGTTTGTGAGTGGTTTAGGTCGTTGACTTCAAACCACTTGCCCCTTACCGCTGTGGATTCAAATCTTGACAGGGACTTGAGATTCTTTCATGCGAGGAAGCTATCTAGCTAGCTTATGGAATGTTAGTGGTTCTGCTCAGATGCCCGTGTGTGCCTGAAATAATGCGTGGAAGCGTTCCTGAGGTCTTCCTCCACCCGTCACCCCCAAAAAGTAAATTTTAAGGACATAATGCTTAGCTAGCTTAGATTATCTATCTATATCAATTGATATTTCAAAGCATCTGCCCAAGCAGCCTTAGATTATATTTATGCAATAATGTATAACTTCAAAATAATTGTCAAATTGTCAAATTGCATTTCTTATTTCAGCTGGAATGATGTCAATACCTGTCTCAATATATCAAAGTCTTATGGCATCCCAGCAACAGGGAACACTGGATCTGGGGTCAACTGGTCAGGTGGTGTTCACACAGGCAACTACCAACCAGCAAGTCCAGCAGCCTCAGATTATCACACAGCAGCAACTGGAGCAGCTGCAGCAGCAACAAACCCTCCAACAGCATTTAGAGGCTCACCAGGAGATTGTACATGTAGGGGAACCTCTAGGTGTACAGTTAAATCAACAACATATACAAGGTGCCAGTGGGGATGGATCAGATAGCTTGATAGCTACAGGAACTGTTGCATGTAAAACTGAGACTTCATAGTTCACAAACTGTTTGGATATTTTAATATGTATTGTATATTTGTATATAAGAGCCAATGTGTTCAAATTATGAAAATGTGACAGAAAGGGAAAATAACACCCCCAACTTTGTAATGTTCTGTCATATAAATGTATCTATTGAAATGAAATAAGTCTCTGAGGTTTTAGGTGTTGAGTAAGGGGATATTGATCTTTACTGCACTAAATATCTTAAATAGAATTGTTCATCTTTCAGTGTGGACAAGTCCATTCATAAATTATAGGGAAAATTTCCAAATAAGTATTAACTGAATAGTGTAAAGTGCACAACATGTTGTGTATTCTTATCTTTGTTTGAACTGGTACCAGGTAAGCGTTACATGTATATATGCTGAAAAACTGTACAAAGCTTGCAAGAACGACATACACTGCTGGACATTGGAAACGCATCCATTGTTTTTTACCTTTTTTATAAGGAAGGGCGTATTTGATTTTTTTGCAAACTGAAGGACACATGTCTATACTTCTTATTTAAAATTGTTACTGTCACGACTCTATTGTTGAGTTTAAGTAAAAAATGTGTGGTAATCCGCATTTACAAAAATCAAAACCGACCTGTTTTATGAGCATAGTCCCAATCACAGTCATGATCTCACTGGGATTGTTTAAGATCATATCCTTCCTCTACGACGAGGACGTGTCGGGGACGTTGGTGGCGTTTTGTATAAAACATTTTATATATTATTTCAACTAGGCTTATAAATGAGGCGTTCAGTATCTCGTGTATGACGCATTAAGCTGAATGCTAGAAAGACACCTGACTTATTGCAGCAATTGGATTATTATTCCATTCTTGCACTGAGGCTTGTTGAAGTTGTGCTTCATTTTGTCGAGATGGTTTACGTGTATTAATTCTACCGCCGAAATCGTCCCATACATGCTATATTGGTGACATGTCTGGTGACATCGCTCGCCAGTCTAGCACATTAATTTGATTATATATTTTCATTATCAACACTATGTTTAGACCTGACCAATATAAAGCTTAAGTCATCAGCTAATGTTGGTATTTGTCTTTATTCACAATTCCTTTCAACAGCTCCAACCCAATTTTTATTCAAAACATAGTGGTCCTTTACACAAGTCATATAAATTATCATTGAATTCTGTATATGTAGGTTACTTGAACTTAAGTTAAAAGAATTGAAATCGTGGAGAATCTCTTTGTCAGTATCTAGAAAGAAGCCAGACCTTATATATATGGTAAATAACATGGCTAAGTGAGTCATACATAAATGCCCTTGGGATAAAATTTACCCACACTTCTGATACTTTTCTAAGTCTTACATAATATAACAATTTGTAATCCTCTTGCCTTTGTATATAAATGTCCCTGGATTCAGATATTGTCCCATTTTGTGGTCCTGTTTCAATTTATAGAGAACAAAAACGATTGAAACTTAAAACCAAGGAGTTTGTCTATAATATGTTACATAACTTTGCCAAGAGTTAGTCTTATACATGTCATCTTTAATTGTTTTCAAAATAATCAGAATCAAGCTTTATTGACTTTAATACACTTATATTATGCGAAATATTTATTTGCCCATTATTTTGATTTATATGTCATGAATGTGACCTATTAATTCGAAATAAACTATTCTATTCTATTCTACAAATCGTGGATCTTGCATAAAAAGTCCAATTAGCTTCTTTGATTTAGTAATAGATTATTTATAGAGTTTTAGCATGGATGAATATTGAATACCCAACAGGGTACATAGTATATGTTTGTCAAAATTCTTAAATGTATCGGAGATGTAGATATGTTATCTATGTATCTGAATGTGTAAATAAACTTTTGATTTATTTATTTATTTTATTTATATTTCATTGCATACGATCAAATTGTATGTCAAAGTTTCAATGACAGGCATGTATATTATGTACATATTAATGTTCCTTAACCAATTACTTCATAATTTCTCAAAATGCTGCAATTTCTCAATGGATTGAGATAGAGCCAAAAGCTTTCAGCGTTGCTTTCACGTTACCTTAAGGTCGACCTGAGGGCATTTAAGCTTCTCACTAGTCCAAAATTTTCGTGTAGATGAGGGGGTCAGAAGATCCCTTTCAAACCCCCCAAGCAGATGCTCTTGTACCCCTTTTTATCTATTTGATAGCGGATGGCGCCGAAAAACTGACTACTTTTTTTACAAGTATTTGGGGTCTAAATAGGTATTTTTTTCCACTATTTGAGGCCTCAAAGGGGTGGTGAAAAGACGTCTATATGAAGTAACGGTTATTATTTATAATTTAAATGATGACACACTTTGTTTTAATTAATCTTTTTGTAAACATTACAAAACATGTTTATTTTTAACATGAACAGCAGTTTTTTATGAAACATTGTACTTAAAAATCTATCTAAATTTGCTTTCAAGGGAGATAATGTCACTGTCATATTTGAAAGACAACATTACGCCCCCTGCGAACTAGAATTTAAACTTCCGCGTTCCAAGGTTCGGGTTGAAACGGACTTAAAAAAGGTGAGGATTTTCTACAGCTTTTCAGTATAATATTGCAAAATATATATGTTTAAGCAGGATGAGTTTACTAGATAAAGTGGGGATAAATAGTTATACGAGCATTATTTTAATTTTAAGATAAGTTATATGTGAGATATAGTGAAACAACTGAATAATATAAATCGGATCACGTGACTTCTCTTTGTTTTCGTAAAACACAAAACAAAACCGCTTTACCTTTAGTTAAATTTAATTAATACTAAATAAACGTTTACAATAAAAGTTCAATGAAATATTCAAGATGAAAAACTATAAAGTTAAACTTAATAATAAATGTGACACTAGTTAGCTATGTGACACTAGCTAGCTGATAAATATGGGACGTGTTTAAGCATGCAAACTAAATTCTTTCAAGATCGCATTGAGAAATGCATATTGATATATTGGATTACAAACAGTTGATACGATGTATTTTATGTAAGTCATAAAGGTTTAAACATATTCATTTCCCATGAATATATATAGTAATAAATATTTATCTTTTTTTTTCATATTGTTCAGAACTTTGATATGTCGTCGGCGGAAAATTGATTAGTAATTTATTTCCATTTAAGAAAATGGAGGTATCTGGAAAGGTAACTTCGACATCAAAGACGAACTTTAACCTCTACTGTATTACGTGTGATACAGATGGATTAAAGGAGCCAGCTCACGGATTTTGTCAAGACTGCCAAGAACATCTTTGCAAAAGTTGCCTTCAACATCATAGAAGGTCAAGGCTTTCTAGAAACCACGTATTGCTTGATAAAGACGCAATGCCAACACAACAAACGACCATTGACGACGTAAATGCAGAAGTAATTACGGACAACTGTACCAACCATAGGGATAAACAACTGGAGTTCTATTGTAACAATCACAAAACTGTAGCATGTTATGTCTGTGTTACACTTGAACACAAACAATGCAAAGTTGATTATATTCCTGATGTTTCAGGTAACATATCTGGCGACTTGATAGATTTGAACAAAAAGATGAAAAATTTAGTCAAGAAATGTGAAAATAACATTATGAAGGCTTCAGCTGCTACAAAGCAACTAGAACAAAGTCGTGGAAAAGTTGTTGAAGACATACGACTCTTGAGAAAAGAAATAAACGATCGGTTAGATCAGATGGAATCTATGATGATAAAAGAAGCTGAAGCTGTTGTTAACACAGCAACCTACAAACACAAGAATATCACAGTTGCTTGTGAAAAAATAGCCGAGGATGTGAAACGTTCACAGTCATTTCTTAATGCCTTGAAGGAAGCAAACAAGAATAATAAGCTTTTCATTGAATTGAAAAATGTCAGACCTCGTTTGATGACACTGGAAAGTGAGGAAATACAGACTGTTAAAGAGAACATGACATATGACGACATTCAGTTTGACCGGAACGAAAAGCTGCTTGATCAACTGAAAAGTGAGACAATCTTTGGAACAATTTCCACATACAGAAAATCATCAACAGATATTGAAATATGTGTCAAATATGAAAGATCGCTCAACGTGACATTTCCTTCTGATGAAGAACAAAGTGATGTTTTTGGGATGGTAACGATTTCTGCTTCACACATGATCTTAGCTGACTACGGAAATAAAAAAATTAAAATGATAGATGTAGACACAGGAACGCTGGTGTCTGAGAAGACCGTGTCTTCAGCACCATGGGATGTTATTAAACTTCCACAAAATAAGCTTGCTGTTGCATTACCTAATGAAAAATGTATCCAGATAATGTCTTATAATAATACAAGTTTGACATTAGATCGTCGTGTAAATGTCGGTGAAGAGTGTGATTGTGTAGCTTATAGTCATGACAAGCTAGTAGTAGGCTGTAATTGTAATCCAGGGAAGATAGTTATTCTGGATTTAGACGGGAAATTGATACAGGTGATTGATATTCCTGGATTGTTTGAAGAACCTGAAAAGATTGTTATCAGCAGTGATGAGAAGTTCTTGTATGTGGCTGATTACATCAATATCATAGATGGAAAATGTACAAAGATAGACTGGCAAGGTAATGTTGTAGAAAGCTTCACGGATCAAGGATGTGAAGGTCCTAAGGGAATTCAGGAGCTGGAAGATGGTACGTTGTTAGTTTGCTTCCGTGAAAGTAACAAAATTGTCAGATTGTCAAGCAGCTTCAAGAAATGTGAGATCACAGGATTAGAAAGAATAAACCTTGATAGTCCGCAGGCCGTAACATTCAGTGAAAGAACTCACAAATTATATGTCAGTTGTTCTTCTGAGAAGGAGCGTAGTTCAAATGATACAATAAAGGTTTTCAATATGCAATATAGTATTGCGAATATTTGCTGCAATGTGACACATTTAATGTGATCAGTGATAGTGACACGTCAACTTATAGGGTACAAACTAAACACACATCTTGTAATCAAATTTAATAAAATATTGATATTCAGAATAATATTTTATTACAAATATATATATTAAAAGTAGATAGCATCTTTCAATTCCAAAAAATTAATAAATTATGATGATCATTTATTTATTATATGTTAAAGAACAATGGTCTGTTAATTTGAATTTTCAGTTACTTATTTACTTGACCAATAAATATCTCCGTTTTGAATTTAATTAATATGTCTGCTCCGAAGAAATATTAACCTTTTATTGCTTGTTGTGTTGTTTTTTTATCTATTTATTTTATTTTTTGTGTGTAAATAAAATATCATTATGTTGATTTATACCTTAATATAATGAACAAATGAGCCGCGTCACGACAAAACCAACATAATGGGTTTGCGACCAGCATGGATCCAGACCTGCCTGCGCATCCGCGCAGTCTGATTAGGATCCATGCTGTTCGCTTACAAACCCTATAACAAGTAGAGAAACTGATAGCGAACAGCATGGATCCTGATCAGACTGCGCGGATGCGCAGGCTGGTCTGGAACCATGCTGGTCGCAAACCCATTATGTTGGTTTTGTCGTGACGCGGCTCAAATGTTGTTTATATGACAAAACAAGAATACTTCAATACATGTGGGCAGATAAATGTTTGATTCATAATAATTACTAAATCATTCACGGTGACTCCATCAGTTATTTTGAAAAAAAAAATTCAAATGTCACATGGTTTGATATCAAATGAATATGAAAGAAAACAATTAAAAAAAAAATAACTAGTATGTACATTTATAACAAGGTCTTTACAAAATATCTAGACTAATGAAATGATAAAGTCAAAGTAATATGATTGGACGACTATATTTTTATATTTTATAAAATGAAATACCAATCTACATCATTCTATCACTAAATATAGACAGACGGACGGACAAGTTGAAAAATCTTCACAAAAATGTACCAGTTGAATAATCTAAGTTTTACTGCATACATAAGAATTTCAACTTAGTCTATAAAACGTATGTCAAGGGTCAACTATAAATCCAAGAGACGAGCGAGGCATGCGCAAAATAACGAGATGTAGACATAGCTGGACTCTTTGACAATAGTCCTGAGTTGCTGTATTGAATTTCGCATTTCCTGATTGATCTTTGTATTTGTTTTTTTCACGATAAAATTTAATTGCTTATAAATTCATTGTGGGAATGTTTGTGAAAACAATTATTGGTGATATGCGTTGTACTCTTCTATTAAAAAAATAACGGTTCACGGATCATTGTCATCAACAACATCAACAACAACAACAACACAAAAACATCATTATTCTTCTAAATTATATATATTACCAGTAAATGGTATTAGTTTGAGTAAGCATTTTTCTTTCGTTTTCATTTCAAGTTATTATACAACAGACAAGGGAAGGCCGAAGGGGAGAAACTTTAACTTTGGATTTTATCATATGAGGAACCTATCCAGCTAGCTTTTGGAACGCGGAACGTCGATGGGTTAATTTAGGTGCATGTTCGTGCCTGAAATAAAACATATGAGATCACCTGAGGTCGTCCTGTACCAGTAAAGTTGGAAAGTCGCCATATGACATATACTGTGTTGGTGCGACATAGCCCATCCCCATCCCAAATATACATATATTTATAAAACAAACGTTATATCTGCTTACAATGATAACCACCGTATGAAAACATCTGCGAATGATTTAAAACTCAAATTGTTACCATTTCATGTTAAATGTTGAAATCTACTTAGACCGGTGCAAGGGGCATGTACGGTAGCTTGTATATTCTTCTATCGTCTATGAACAGGCTCAATCATACAGAGATTGTTATCAATACCAATTTTGTCCGTCTGGAAATCCTTAATAATACTGATGTAATTGATATTTGGTTGAATAAATTACAAATCTTTGGATGTTTCTTCATTCATTTTTTCATCATTAACTGTTGAATACTGCCTAAACCGGTGATAAGGGGTCTATTCAGTAGCTTGCACAAATAACTTAATTACTGCACGATTTTTACTTCTTTTTGTATGTTTTTTTTTAATATTTAAAATGCCCTATCCATCATTTAGAGTCGGACGTTTTAAGCTTTATTCTCTTATGTATCTGTATTTGTTTTTCTTTTTAATTCTCAAGTTTAAATAACCAAATCAGTGATAATCATTATAATATGATGCACTATATTAATCTGTTAAAAGGACATTATGCCTCAGAAATCATTTCTTTTATTATTGAGAAAGGCCGAACGTGTGTTTAACAATTTCATTAATGATTCGGGCATGTTACATGTCAAAAAACTTAAACAATAAATAAATATCGTGCAGAAATAGTTACCGTCCGTACGAAAAATAGGGCTGTATATTATTTACAGACCCTTCAAAACTATTAACCGTTACGCTCTTGTAATTTAAAATGCAGTAGATGAGGTGTTACATGTACAAGTTTATTGAAATCCACTTTTTTAATGTATAAAGGTCAGGTTGATATATTAAAATATCACAGAAAATGTGTCCAAATCTGGAGGAGATTCTATTATAAAAAAGGCTAATCATTTTATGCATATAAATATAAAATCAAGAAAAAACCCAAAACGATTTAAAATAAATGCAATATGTTTATACAATAGTAACAGGATTAAAGCCACTAACTTAAGACTATGATTCAAAGTTTATCTTGTTTGGGGACGGGGTTGAATAAATCAAACGAAAATTATGAATTATATAAAAGGCGAATATCTATATTAAATGGCGATTTCCGCAAGTGTCTTCAACACATTATTGCAGGTACGAACCGGCTTAGTAAAACTGACAACATTCAGTCATCTTCTCAAAAAAAAAGAAATAAGGAGCGATCGGTCTCTCTTTCACAGTCTACTTAAATACTTTGGCGTATGTCTGGCTTATAACTATTCAAATAACGTTATCCAATAAAAATTCCATCAGGCTATTCAAACAGACGGCATAAAAAGGGAATTTATAACTCTTTGACTCGCAGAGCAAGTAACGTCTCATAGATTTACAAGCACGTGGTTCCCTGCGCTGAGGCTGACATTTTTGACAAATGCGCATTTAAACAAAACAAGAGCCCTAAAAATGAAATATTTTATCCATGTGAAATCAAATTCGTGATAAATAATAGTTTGTCAGGCCTTCAATTTAAATATATAATGTATGTTTATTTACAAGGTCAATTAGTGACGAGGCTTCTAAGAATGAATAAATAAATTTCATTATGAATTTTAAGTTTTAAATGATATGGTGTTGCCGTGTCATAGATGTCTGATAGTATATATTCCTTGAAATTAACGTGCATGCTTTCGTCCCTTAAATGTTCTTTTAGTATATCCTTAAATAGCACTCCCCTTCTATATATGTTTAGTAACAGCACACGAAGACAGCACGCGCAGTCTAGCACGGACCACTGGGTCTTGAAACACTCGCAAACGGTTCTTACCGTATAAACAAAAATTCCCAAGGAAGTCCATGTATTCGCTTTTTATGATCATTGGTGAAAATAATTACCAAACCATCAATCTGAAATCAACTTATTGCGTTCGTCTGTTTTAAATAGAACAAGAACGCATATAATACTTTGGACATTGATTTTGCTTTTCGGAACTGTATGTTTTGTGCTGTGTGTATACCACACTTGCAAAAAAGAATATGTGTATATAATTATGCAAATGAAATAATTTTCAAACATCCAAGAATATGTTAAATGTGAACTGCAAATATTTGTGCACATTATATTTAATCAATAAATTACATGCATTCATTTCTTATTGGTAAATTTTACTTAGAATTAATAGAAATAAATTTCTTATTATCTCCCTTTGTTTACATGAAATGTTAAATTGGGTAATATCTTTATAAATAATGCTTAGTTGAACTTACAATATTGACAAATTCTAAATTTGAGCATCATGTTTATGAAATAAAAATATAAAAAAAATTGTTTTACAGGATCTTTAATATTTCCTGAACTACTGGCGTCATAAAATACTGTTTTACTTAGTTAATACGGGTACTCTGCAGATTCTAGCGTTAAATCAGCTGAGTAACATTAAAGATAAAAAACAACTGAATTGGGCAAAAATGTGCAGCACACGTTATACTCGAAAAGTTCAGTGCCATTTAAGTAATTCATATGTTCAAACTTACAAGAAATTAATGGTTTTATAATGACAGCTATCTTTTATTTTTGCAGTACTTTAATACTTTTGGCGTTTCTTAAAACTGCACCTATAATTGTTTCTATGCGCAAGAAAATCTTTTCATAAAGCCCGCTTTTATTTTCTCAAAGTTTTTTAATCTTTTTTATTTATTTATTTCCATTACTTATTGATCGATCATTAACCTGAACTATCGTTTGCTTCTGTTAACTTTTGGCAATTTAGTTTCATGATAATGATTTAGTAATTTGTATGAAAGTCAAATACTACTTTGTTTACAATTTGCTACTTTGATAACAATTAAATTAATTTGACATTCATCACTACTTTCTTCAGGTGATAAACATCTGACTTTCTCTAAAATCATTATACAAATGTATAAACGTTATGAAACCAATATTTGCTATTTTAACAGAAGAAGAGAATATTCCTTTATGAGGTTATGTGCCTTTACCGTTCAGTAAAGAACAGGTAAGGGGGAAGCATAGCATAAGAGATGGACTGAGTGCCAAAAATGTAGCTTTTTTCTCACAAAAAGTGTTCCTTGAATGACACTTAAAAGTATTTATACGTATCATAATAATTATGTAAGTTTCAGAATAGTCTTCCAACAGTCTACATAAAGTCTTTTTTTAAATTTGTTTTGCCAATACATGTTTTTATGCTTTCTGCTGTCACTTCTGATAGCTGTGGCGTCAAAGCGCACACTAACTAGATTGTGTTTCGCCGAAGAAACACGACGTCAGTGATACGTTTCATAAAACGGTCGTACGACGTTGTCAAAGACATACTGTAGCGCCGATATATGTCCAAACGTCGAAAAATGTCCAAACGACGATAAATGTCCAAAAATTGACGATAAATGTCTCAATCGCCGATAAATGTCCAAAACTCCTTTAACGATAAATTTCCAAAAATTAACGAAAAAGGTCGCAACAAATTAGGTGCTCATAAATGTCCAAATCGGTTAACGATAAATGTCTCAACTTTTCATATGTTAATTGCACTTATTTCTATGATCAACAGTAATGCATCAGCCAGTTATAAAGGTTTCCATAGGGATTAAAAGTACCGATT